TACTGCTACTGCTACTGCTACTGCTACTGCTACTGCTACTGCTACTGCTACTGCTACTACTACTGCTGCTGCTGCTGATACTGCTACCGCTACTGCTACTGCTACTGCTACTGCTACTGCTACTGCTACTGCTACTGCTACTACTACTACTACTATTGCTGCTGCTACTGCTGTTACTGCTGCTGTTACTGCTGCTGCTGCTGTTGCTGCTGCTGCTGCTATTCAGCCTCGTTGCTTGGGCTTACTTAGCGCAGACGAACTGTGAAGTGCTGCGTGACTTGTAGATGAAGTGTCTAAGGTCCGCGATGCCTATCTGTGACACGCGGCAGCCTCCCTCCGCTATCGCCACGTCAATCGCCTCCAAGCAGCGATACCGCTGCAGCCTCTGCAGCAAAGATGAAGCCATACATGTGACAGGGGGCCATTTCACATCCAGGGACATTTTCCGATGGAGATCAGGGTAAGAGATGCCTTCTGGCCAAGAGTCACTAATTGGTGTCACTATGCGTTTAACACTATTAAATCCATCGGATGTATTCCCTATTAAAAAAGACTGCATTCAGTACGGGTACCTGCATTTGAATTATATGCAATAAAGATTTAACGATAAAGAATATTAATACATAATAGAAGATAAATAAGATAGTAGATAATAGGATAATAAGATAGTATAGATAATAGGATAATAAGATAAGTAAATAAGTAGATACATCTAGTTAGATGTTTTGGACCAATAGTGGCAGTAACAGGACAGCGCAACTGTCAGGTAGAAGAATATAAAGAGATTATTGTGGGATACAAAGCCAAATATAAAGTTATAATTACTGTTGTGGGCTAATTAACTTAAATGGACAGGAAATGCAGGAGAGGTTCACTAGCAAAGATACGACTAATGTAATTCATTAAATACGTACAAGCTCACGTGGCCTGTTTTGGAATACTATGCAATAAGTGCGAGAGGCTGCATGCATGGGCACGTTACCATGGTGATTCTCACCTCTAGTACTTTCTTCTTGCACTCTGACAGTGTGAAGAACTCATCACGATTCACGGTGAGCAACAGCATGCAGGTATTGCACTTGTCATCCAGGTAGGAGATGTGAGCATACAGGTAACCACTGCAATGCAATTGCGTTCGTTAACAGGTAGATCTGCATATACGGTTAATAATTGAGTTATTGCAGTAATACACCGCATCATAACTTCGACTTCGGTAATTTGCTTATAGGTAAACTCAATCAGTTCAGAGATGTATACATCAAGCTGTGAAAACACAGCATGACTGTCTTGGGATTGTCAAAAGAAAGCACAGATGGAAACTAGACAGAGGGCACTCACGGAGAGTGCATACCTCCGCCAGCATGTAACATGTATGTGTTACGAGCTGGCTCGCCGCTCGCTCGCTGGCTGGCTCGCTGACTCGACGCGCTAATATCGATCGCGCGAACACACTAGCACATGAACACACTACACGAGAGCGATCACATAACCTCCTCCACTCCGTGGGTGGAGGTAATTAAGGCACGTTGATAAGGCAGTTAATACATGTTGGAGGATATATAGAATGCTGTGAGTTGGCTTCAGGTTTGAAGGCACGTCGTACACATAATGCGTTAAAATGCTTGAGGCGAACCCTGTATATATACGTAACATTTGTGAGCCTTAAACTGGTTAAATACATGTGCAAGGCATGAAATTCGCCAAAATGTGAACAGGGCCACCCAAAATTTTAAACAGGCCTTTAGACAAATTGAACAGGCCCTTGATTTTTTTCATTCATTCCATTATTAATAAATGTATTAGCTTTGCGTTTATTAGGCATACTCATAGTATTTCAGTATTTCATTGCTATATCAGTGGAATTCTACTTTGACAGAAATTTCTGGAACATGATTTACTTCTTAGTAGACACCAAGTAAAAACTAGTCAGGAAATTGGTAACTATTGTTGATATAAAGACAAGATAGGCAAAATTTTGAATAGGCCAAGTGGACTGATTATATAGGGGGTTGAACCGGTGGTTTAGGGAGTTGAACCGGTGGTTTAGGGAGTTGAACCGGTGGCCGCCGGCAAAATAGCGCTAATTTCGCACACTGCACGTGCGTGACGTCACGTTTTTGGAAGACATCGATTGATCGCTTGCGGTTGTAGGTTGCAGCGACGAGCAACAGCAAATCGCAAGTCTGTGCTGGGCTTTACCTCGAGTCGAACTTTGGCAGGCAGATGGGCGACCACGTCTCTCCGGTCTGGAACGATGTCGTTGACGAGCTGACTAGGTTGAGGATGAGGTGCAGGTCTACAGGGTGCAGCGAGTACTTACGCATGCGCACCATCGTCACGAGCTGCTTGTCCGCGATGATGATCGCAAACACAAGATCCTGCAAGAACGACGGCAGCGAGTCAGCGAAGCAATGGGTTCTCTTTACTGCCACGAGATGGCCTTGTGCAGCAGTGAAAAAATTATACGGGGGCGGCCAGAAATTCCCAAAAGAGCCCCCGAAAATGTGATTATGGGGGCGACAGTTAAAAAGAAAACGTTTGAAATGGCAAACACAAGATCCTGCAAGAACGACGGCACTCTCTAGGTGTAAGGAAGCATTTTCCTGCAATCTGAGCCATTTCCTGGCATCTAGAATTAACTTTGAAATCACATTTCCAGTGCCCATTGAGCGTAATAGAGCGTATCACAGGCACGTGGCAACTGGATAGTACATCGACGAGCTCGCCATTTCGTGGGACTCTTTGGCAGCGGTGCTGTCCGCGCCGCCGGGCGACGACCGTCACGGGTCCGGAGCGCGAGCATGAACGACCCAGCGCGGCCGCAGGGCTGCTACGATGCACAGCGGATCTGTCGCGCCGATCGTCCA